CTTTTATCACATAGTTAGAAAGCCAGAAAAAGTATGGTAGTCGTAGGACATTGTTTTCTGTATTGATAATTGTCTATTTCACTTCCATTCCAAACTTTATTTCCATGGGAAACACATTGACAAGTTTAGCTGAATTTTTAATAGCTTTTATCACATAGTTAGAAAGCCAGAAAAAGTATGGTAGTCGTAGGATATTGTCTGCTTTATATGTGTTATTATTCTGTGTTCTTAAGTACATTATTCAATTACATAAAAACATTATTTATTGTAGTAGTACCATTAGTATAAAAAATTAGGCTTAAGGTTCAGTGATGATTGACAGAAGAAAAAACAACAGGTAATTATTATATTTTTTTTCATGTGTATTCTATATTATTATAAAAGTAACCATACTGTAAAAAAGCTTATAAGGTTAGATTATGTAAAACAATGATAAAAAAATATATAAATTCTTCAGTAGGTATACTCTCACACAGCTCTTGCATTACATAATTAGACACAGTAACATAAGCTGTACATTCACCGAGTAAGTTACAACTTATGTGGCAGGAATATTAGTTAGACACCATTCAAATGTTAATAAAACAATAAAATTAAGTATAAACATATGTATAATATTATGAGTTTTATGCTATATAAAATAAACAATTGTGGTTTCCTGCAGTCATTCTAAAAAGAAAAAAATTTAGATTTGTTTCTTAATGTTTTTAGGAAGGTTACGAGATATGTCAAATTAACCGACCCTGTATAGAGTTAGGGTAGAGAAAATAACAGATAAAATGTAGCTTTTCTGAAAAGAAACATTTGATATTCATTTAAGAGGTTTCAGAGATTATGCAAATGAATTTTGACAATTTTTAGATAACGAAAAATGTTTTTAATCTTAACATTAAAATCACTCTTCTCTCAGAGCAGTCAACATTCCAACTCCATATAATTATGTACAAAGTTTTAATAAAAATACTTAACTAAAAATTCTGATTTTTGTTTACAAAAGACTTTTGATGTTAACTGAAAGCTTGCCAAATTTCATGAAGATATATTAAGTACTTTCAGTTATACTATGTATACCACCATGGTTACATGGTGGTTAGAAGGTCTTGTTAAATACAGGAGCCCACTGAGATAGGATTAACATTCTATAACTATATTTCAGTAGTGCCTTATAAAAATTAGTTATGTCTTTCAAAATGGTAAGGTCATTTAAGGTTATAGATAGGGAAGAAGCCTAAAGACAAGGCTTTCAAATACTTTCCAACAAAACAGATTTTTTCTTATAAGCTGTTTGTTCCAAAGCTATAGGAATATTACTGTATAACAATACACCACATAAGAATATTTAGGTTTAGTGAGTACAGAAAGTTGGCCTGTGATGACAAAATACTTAGATGTTACAAATCCTTTACTGAATATACATTTTAACTTACTGTTGAAACAACACCAACAAATAACATATCTACATATCTTTTGAATTTATAATTATTAAAATATATAAAATTAAAGCAAGTTCAGTATTCATCAGTAAATCTTTGTCAGTTGCACTGTTGTTTGTATGATTCACAGCAGGAAGTCAACTTCAATTGGCAAAATTAAATACTAAAAAATATTTATTTTTCCAAAATAATAACAAAAAATAGAAGATTCAAATGACAAATATTTTTATACAGCTTCAGAACTAAAATTTTGAAAATTCATGCTTAAAATTGTTAGGAATACTAATTCAGGTTATATAAAATAGTTTTATGTAGAAACTAGACACGACCTAGAAAGTTTGTACTAAGTTCCATGCAATTCAATTCATTGTAAGAATGTAAAAGACAGATGGGTGTTTTTTAGCACCCCAGTGATCATTATATGGCTTTAAAGGTTTACCATAAAATTAAGTAGGAGTATTTCAGAAATTACTCATATTAAGTTGAGAGACACAAGATAAGATTTTAATACTAAGAAAACTCTTAATAAACACAAATCTACAAAATCCTGTATCACTGCTGAACCACATACCTTGACATGTTTCTCTGGTAGGCTTCTCAAACTGTTCCTCTTGATCTCCTATTCTTTTACTTTCTGCATCTTTGTAAGATCGGTAGAAAACAGACCTAAAACAACATTAAAAACATTTACGAAAGTGTTTCTGAGAAGTCTGACTACAATAAACACAATACTGGGCTGTTTGCTGACAACAAAAGTATTTTTAATTTTGTGAGGAAAAACCTTGTAAACAAATTAAAATAAATGTACTATAAATAATTTGAACAAGAAAAATATAGTTTTCAGGACTACAGTTTGTACCTGAAAAACCCACGATCAATGGCTGAAGCATTGAGAATGACAGAATCTTCTTGGTTGTAGCCTGTATAGGACATGATTGCAACAATAGCATTGATTCCAGCAGGAAGTTCTCTGAACCTTAAGTACTCCATAGATCGAGTTGTTACCAAGGGCTTCTGTGGATAGTAAAGCACATGTGCCAAAGTGTCCATCCGTACATGAAAGTTTGTGATATAGATTCCCATAGCTTGTTTACCCATGGCAGACTGGTACGTATTTCGTGGGGACTACATCCAAACAAGAATATCAGTAAGTTAATTTATCACTAGCAAACAACCAAAAGCATTACATAATTCCACACCTTGTTTACTCAAGAAATTTATTTGAGTCATGATCTCACATAAGTAGGTGGTGGTGAAATATTTAACTAGTTGTTGGCCTTTATCAAACAGGGTTTTCCTCCCTTTTAGCTATTTTCTTATGTCAGAAATGTATATGACTAGTAAGTAAAACCACCACCACCTACTTATTTGAGGCTATGAATTGGTTAAATCTTAAACTATATTTAAGATTTAACAGATTAACATGCTTCCTGTGATCACAAATTTTTATACCTCACATCACTTTTCTTGCCAACAACAAATAACATTTAGTTCATTTAATTCATGTAGCAAATTTTATTATTATATACTTATTTAAATATCAACGTTTGTTTAGATTAAGTTTATATTTAAAAACATGCAAAGCTTAGATATGTATTGCAATACATATGTTAGATATGTATTGCGAAACTCCCACCTATTCTCCAAAGTTGTAGAAGATTCTCGAGAATAAGAATCAACAATATATGTATATACGTAAACACTTAAAAGTAGTTCAGTATTGTTACGTAAAACTGAAATTTCTAGAACGCATCCACATGGCTATAAATATAACCAATGCACCACGCCAAAGAGAGTATCTATTATTAGTTCGCTATAGTTGGTATACTATAAACCTTGGAAGCTATAATTGTGATTAACACTTATTAATCAGGAACTTCAGATATATTGACCAGGAACTTCAGTGGATTCTCATCGGGCATTAGTATTTTTATAAAAACATTACCTAACATCACTGGTGAAAAAAACAGCGTGTGATCAGTGAAGGACAAAGCTAGCTAGCTTCCTGTTAAGTGTAATATACCTACGTCAACTCATAAACAACTCGCTCATCGTGAACACTCTATAAGATATTGAAGTATCAGTCTTTATATTGTTTGTAATAATTATTTGTAATAACTGTTATTGTAAATTGTATTGTTGTGTGTATATTAAAACGTATTTGTGTTAAAAAAAGAAAACTGTATCAACCTTGTTGGCAAATATCGTAAACTGACTATATATCTTGATGGATGCCATGTCCACCTTCTATACTTTGCCTTCAGATCTACAATGTACATTTAGTTGGTTGACACAAGTGTATATAGTCATTAGAAAGATCTCAGTTTACACTGTACTCCACAAATGGTTAATTTTAAACTGGTGCACAGTTTTCATCTGTTTAATTGACTATAGCAGTTACAGTGGTTTCTTATCTAAATATGCTCTAGTTAGAAAAACAGTTAAATTATATTTAAGTCTTACTTTTATATTTTAGTTAACTATGTATTATGTGTGTTTTAAAAATCATATTTGAATGGTTTAATGATTTTTATAAGTTTAACTTGTTGCCTGGATTGTGAGAGTTTATAAAGAAGATAGCGTGTATAAGCACCATCTTGTTTCAGCAATGCATCTCTGCAGAGAGTCTGCCAAAATATCTTCGTAAAGTCCTGTTGGCAACAGTTAATGTATGGGCATAAAAGATAATAGACAAAGAACTTGAGAAGAAAATTAAAAATAAACTATAAGTGAAAAGATAAAGATCTGAAATTATGCATGTAAGAAAAACAACTATTCTAGTGGATTTCTACTAAGAGTTAAAAGGGATGTACATATTTCCATTTGTTCGGGCAATCAAAAATGAGATTTGTGGCATACATTGCATTCACTATCATGAAAGATCATAACGGTAACATATCACTATATAAAACCCAGATGACTCGCATAAATTGCACCTGACCTGAAAGTGTGTGTATGGTTTAAAAAACAAAAATGATTAAACCTTTCATGTTGGGATTAGATATCAATGAACAATTGACTGTAAAGTGTCTAATGTAGGAGGGCCTTCATTTTTCTAGTGATAAATGAAATTCCAGGACACATCCAAACCCTGTTAGTTTCCTCGGGCATTTTTTATTCCTGTGTTAAATAATTTTTGTATGAAAACTAGACATTAGGTAAGCCTTATTAGGTTTAATGAACATTGCAGGCAATTACAAAATATTAAGTCACTCAAATGCAACTTATTTCCTTAGCCAGTGAATATTATTACTTTTAATGTATTTAAATCAGGTAGGTAAGTAAAATGTCTTTATTGAAAAGAAACTACATTAACTAAATATAAAATGCTCTCAACCAAGAATACTGCTAACAAAAATTCTGGTGTCTAGTCTGACCTAATGCCATTGTAACAGGTCACTGACAAATTTGTCACTTTTTTTTTTTATTATTTATAGCCAGAAACAGCGACTACTACAATCAGCAAGATAAAGTATCAAAAGAAGTCTATAATAAAAATCAGTAGCTTGAAACAGTGAGTATATATAAAATGGAACTTTATGATCAACAATAAAAAAAAAGTAATCTAAGACAAAAGGATGTATTTTAATGTTTATCAAAACAGTGCATCTCATCAAAAGTTTGGAATTTTGACAGCATAAACAATTATAGAAAAGTAAAGGAAATTATACAATTTTTAGTACAGTAAAAAATCAAGATGTCAATGACAGCCACCCAAAGTCTGGAAAGGGTTAAACCTAGTACCACCTAAACAGCTATGATTAAAATGAAATTACCAAATTTCACCACCTAATTCATCTTTGTCACAAAATAAACATTCTGACATACAAGTTATATGTCTATGGTTACAAGATATACTTTCGCAGGGCCCTGAAAGTGTTCTGTTTCAAGAGTAAATAAAACCAAAATTAAGAGTAACAAATATTTTTATTTTTTGCTTTTGAAGTTCATGCATTGTTTTAGCCTACAGAGTGCATAATTATTCTCGTGATTCATGGCATGTGCACATTTTACCAATGCCACAACAGTACAAATTGCAATGTTAAGTGTCCCTTATGTGACATCATTTTAGTGTCTACTGACTGACAGACAACACACTACAGTATTGTGGTGCGAGTGGTTAAAACAGGAAATCATATAGTTATCTTTTTTACACCACATACTTGAGTGTGACCAGGTCTTAGTTAATTACAACATCACTACCTGGTTTATTTTGATAATATAAATTAGTGAAATAATAATATGCTTGATATATAATAGATAGGAATTAGTTATTTAGCAATGAAACATACCTGATTATGGTCAGGGAAAGGAATAATGGAAGCACAAACACCAAGTATCATGGATGGGTGGATTTCACAATGGGTGTATGATGAACAGTATGACAACCCCTTGTCCTGTAGATCATCAGGGTTCATAGCCAGCATGATCGTTTCTTCTTCTAGAGTGTCAATATATTCTACTACACCACTAGACACCAAGTCTTGCCAACTGTCAGTAAGGAAAAATGTCAAATGCTTTAACTAGTCAACTCTACATACCCAAATTTCTCAGGTGTCTCTGAGGAAAATCTCATCAGTTATATACCACATATAACTTCCTTCATAATCAAGTCCTGCTAGCTGTGCGCCAATGTATCTATACTATATCACATTATATTTAAAATTTATTTTTAGCCTCAGCATAGTAGCTTATAGAATGGCTTCAAGTGTTTTTTTTTTTTCATGTCTAAACTTTTAGCTCATAGCTCCATCATCTCTTGACTGATGTGAGATCTAATTACAGTTATGGACTCAGGAGGTCAAACCATTTTGATTGGTGTATTTGACCATGCCCAAGGTCTCATAGCTTAATTTACTCTAATCCTGCCTGAAAGAATTTCAAGTGCTGCAGCTATTGAGGATTCCCTCTTGTTACTATAGAACTCACATAATCAATTTTGGTAATTATGTTAAAAAATTAATATTTTTTGTCTGTGTAATTTTACACATAGAACTATTCCAATCTTGTATTTAGATTTGTTTTTTCTCTTCTGTATCTCAAAGTGAAATCTTCACAAAACAATACTACCAGAAATCCATTTACTGTTACTACATGTCAATCTTTACTTCTTTAGAATTTTGTATCAAATACTTTTTCTTCCAAACATTTTCTTTTAATGAAAAAGAACACAAACCTGTAGTTGTTAAACTCTCTCTTCTTTAACATATCTATATGATGTTTTTTCAATAACAGTTTCTGGTTCTCTACAATCAACAGTGGTCGACAAATTCTCCCCGCCTCTGTAAATATTCTAATTTCTCGGTCTCGAATGTCACGTACCATAGACACCTACAAGAGACAAGCACAGATCACACTGAAGTATTAAACAGCACTATAAAAACTTTTGATGTTACTAACTTGTAAAAGATATGTTTCTAAAGATAACTATTCAAAAACTTATGCTAAACAATACTAACATTTGTAACATATTTTGATATCAGTTTCTAAACACTGACTAAGTTCTAAACACAAACCATCTAGAATCCACTCAACAAAAGAACTAGATTTTTTGCCATTAAAGGATAAAATTTCTCCGTTATACTTTTAATCTGATATTATAAAACACATCAATGTTCATATGTTATTTAGTGCACAACCAGAAAAAAAAAATCTACCTCTGATACAATGATATCCATTTGTCTTCTCAACTTTCTTAAGGTGTTCATTAACTGATCTGGATCTCTATGAATTCCTACCCAACAACCATTGACGAAAATTTTTGTTGCTCTATTAAAGAAAAAAAAAAGCAACAGCAAATGATAATGAAATCAAAGTAATGTCTTGTATGTTATCATTCTTATTTTGGGCTCCAGCTTTTCAAGGTTGCTACACTAAATGTATGTTAAAATTAGTTTGTCCTGAAATTGAGTTCATCAATATGAATCTTAGTTCTGTATATACTTCAATGAATATTCATATATCTCTTGATTGACTTAACATAAATATAACTGTGGTAACCACCAACAACCATTACTCACTTCCGGATTACCTTCTCTTATTTAGTTACTCAAATGTTACTTCAGTTAAAAACCTACTTACAATTTGATAGAAACCTTTGAAACTTAATTAAAACAGGTAAAATTAATATCTTAGTGACTATATAACAATGTACTTTTTCTCTCTTGTTCCAATTACTTTAAATTTTTCTTAAATTTAATCAACTTGCACTTCACAAAACAGCATTTGAAATTCTAATGCTTTATTGTTTCTATACTGTTTTATATTCCCATATTATCTTCAAACATTAAAGGAGAGCCCTTTTAAAAAAGTGTTTATTTCACTGATATTTTACACACAGTTCAGAGCCATAAGAAAGAAAGAAAAACATATACAATAAAAAAAAGAAAATTAACCCACTAGTTGTAAATTTAAGAACATTAACCATATTATTTTATGTATTTAAGACAATTTCCTTTATAAAAAAAAATTACAAAAGACAGAAGAGTTTGTTATATGAACACTTACTCTGCTATAGCAGATGGAGCTATTTCTTCTAGGTTTTCCATGCTCCATTCTTCCAAAAACTCGAGAATTGGTGAAGGCTGAGACCCCACAGAAATATAGGACATCAATGCCAGGTTCTTCACAAGGCCAACAGCAGCACCCTACCAAAGAAAGAACTTAAAGATATTGTAATACTAACATGTCTTTGTGTTTGAGAATATAGTTTCTTTACACAGAAAGATTTATAATAATAAAATGTTAATACATTTTGCATTCAATACTTGACATTCTGCAACATTATTCTATATTCTATACAATTTTGAATAACAGTAAGCACAAAACTAATTTGTTATTGACTATACCAATAACAATGCAGAAAAATAAATTAACACTGGTCCTGTAATATGAGACCAATTAATATGTTGAATTACCTGCTATACACTGGTCTTTGTACCAGTACAATTTTTTTAAGAAAGAAGTACCAAGAATAGTTACTAGCATGCATGTTTCTTCACCTGTATACTGTGTCAAATCCTGCATTATATCCATGTATGCATGCTTTTATGTGTCACCTAGCGAGTTAGCTTTATTAAACATGTATACAAATAAACTTGGCACCAAAAACATTGTTATTAAATCAAGTTTTGATATCATATGTTTTAAGTTCATAATTTTATAAAAAATATTTAAATAAATCCCCAATCTCCCCTAAAATGAAAATTGTGATATATTTCTCTAGGTTTTCCCCCTTTTTTTATTTACCACCTCTCTGAATTACAAAATTTAATGTAAATTACTCATTATAATCTAGATATTACTGAGGAAAAGTCTAATTTTCATAGCCTTCAATCTTAGTTGTTTATGGAGTTATAAAATAGAAAATAAGAACCATATGCCACACCCACCTCTGACATCCTCTCATTCATAAATTACCAATAATTCTTTTTGATATTTTATACTATATGATTCATAACCAACAGAAAGGCAGTTTTGATCCATCAAAAGATGTATAATGCTATGTTGTTTTCAGTACAGACTACAGTGTTGTCAATTTTGTCTTTAGTTATCTCGCAGTGTTCAGGTCGAGCAACTAAGGACATTATTTTAAGCCTTTCTTGTCTTAGTTAGAAAGTCAGCTAAATTATAATAGTTATAGGACATTATTTGCTTTGTGCGTGTTATTATCTGTTTTTAGATACATTATTTAAGTAAAGAAAAATTTAGTTACTAGTATCATCATTATAAAAAAGCGGGCTTAAATTTCATCAGCAACCAACAGACAAAAGGTAAGTACTATATTTCTTGTTTTTCATGTATAATTTTTGTTATAAAAGTAACTGAAATGTAAAAATTAGAAACATATTTGCTTATATTAGGTAAGATAAGGAAAAATAATAATAGCAAAAATTCTTCATGAGGTATGTTCACAAGTACCTCGTGCATTACATCATTCAATACAGTAACATGTGCTATGTATTTGCAGAGTAACTTACAACTTGAATGGCAGGTTTAAAGGTTAGACACAGTTCAAAGGACAATAAAAACAATAAAATTAAGTAGAAACAGATGTAGACTGTTATAAGCCTTAAGCTAATTAGGACAAACAATTGTAGTTTTCTGTTACAATCTGCAGTAATTTTAGAAAGAAAGAAAAAGGGGTAATTTATTTTTGTTTTATGGTATTTATGAGGTTGGTCAAACTGACTGAGTGTGTTTAGAGTTGGGTACAGAAAATAACAAAATGTGAAGTTTTACTAAACAAAAAAGTGATATTCATTCAGGAGGTTTTAGAGATTATGCAAATTAAATTTGAAAATTTTCAGATGAACAAAAATAATTTAATGTTAACACAAAAATCACTTTGTACTCAAAGCAGTCAATAATCTGACTAAATATATTTACTTAATTAAAAAACCTGCTTTTGGGTCCATAAAATGTAATATTTACTGAAAGCTTTGCAAATTTCATGAAGATACACAAAATATATTAAAAAGTTATAGTATGAAACTAATGGTTACTTTGTGGTTACAAGGTCAGTCACATCAACTGACCCTGTATGAAAATAATAAACAAATCAACATGGGCTTGGAGATAATTTTGATGAGGATCTCTCTAAAGTACTACATCATTCATTTAACTATACACTGGCCAAAAATGAAGAAAAAAGGTTCAAGTTTTCTGTCTGTAGATGTAAATTAAGTTTTGCAAATGTCTCTGCTCCTTTTAAAACATTTTTACTATTGTTAACTCTTTCCATACGAGCTCGGTTGAATTGACTGAGTTTGCAACTATTTGTACTTGTTACAGTTTCCATACTATAACCTTCAATAAAGTACGTGTATCTTCACAAAATTTGGCAGACTTTCAGTAAACATTAAAATTAAGTAGAAACAGATGTAGACTGTTATAAGCCTTAAGCTATTTAGGATAAACAATTGTAATTTTCTGTTACAATCTGCAGTAATTCTAGATAGAAAAACTAAATAAAACTAAAGATTATTTCAATCTAATTGAGAAAATGGGTATTTATAAAATTGAATATGAATGTGGTCGTGTATACATTGGTCAAACTAGAAGAAATATGAAATTTAGAATAAATGAACAAAAGAGAAATGTTAAAAACAATAATGAAAACTCTGCACTAGCTGAACGTGCAAATTATACTGGTCTTGTCATCCAGTGAGAAAAAATTTTTATTTTGGTTCAACTGAATAATGTGACTGCTAGAAACATTAGCGAAACTACAGAAATTATGAAATACACTAAAAATACTTATATTTTAAATAAGGATGATGAGTTAGAAAATCAGAAGATAATAAAATTTAAGTATAACCAGATGTATACTGAAAATATATTAAAATACTTAAATGATCAATGTTATTTGGTACACAATTAAAATCTTTATTCTAAGACCGATTAAAGGTCTTAAAAGACACTACATGTTTTGATGTCAATTCAGGAGAGTGAAAAACAAATATTGTGCAACGGTGTAAATACAAAAACTCGTGGTCATGTGACTACTTAGTTTACATACTTAAAAAAGAACGTACTATCTACATAGTTTATTGCCCTTTGAATGGTGTCAAGTTAATATTCCCACCATAAAATTCATAAATCAACTGGCAAACATGGAGCTCATATTACTCTATCGAATTATATAATTCATGGGCTACTTGTGGTAGTACCTTGTGAAATATTTTTATTACTATTTATTTTACCAATCTAACCTTATCTAACCTAAAAAGTTTCAAATTTTAACACTTTAGTTACTTTTATAACAATAGATAAATAATACACATGAAAAACAAGAAATAAGGTATTTAATTGAGTCTGCTCTTTTTGCTATCAACTGTCGATGACACTTAACTCTACCTGTTTTTCTTTTTTATACTTATGGTACTACTGCACTAAATAATTTTATATTTAATTAAATAATGTACCAAAGAACACAGAATAATAACATGCAAAAAGCAGACAACATCCCTTAGCTTTAACAATTTTTCTGGCTTTCTACCTATGTGACAAGAGCTGTTCAGCTAAGCTTATTTGTATGTTTCCCATAGGAATACAGTTTCAGAAAACAACGTAATATAATTAATTGTTTGATTGATTAAAACATTGATTTTCTGTTGGTTCTAGATAATATAATATTAAATTTCAGAAAGAACTACTGACAATTTCTGAGAGAGGGGATGTGATGGGTGGGTGTGGAAAGTGAGGTCTGATTTTCTATTTCATGGTTCTGAAACCAAATATGATTGAAGGCCATAAAAATTATGGTTTTCCTGAGTAATATCTAAGTTATATATACACAAGTAATGTACTTTAAATTTCATACTTCTTGGAAGGTTATAAATAAATTAGAGGAGAAACCAAAAGAGCAAATGTCACAATTCTCACACTAAAGGAACTGAAGATTTTTTAATATTGCTTTATAAAATTAAGAACTTAAAACTTAAAAAATGTTAAAACTTGGATTATTAGTTATGTTTTTGTGCCAAGTTTATTTATACACCATGATAAAAAAGTAGTTTAATTAAATTTTGAATGTAACTCAATAAAACCTCCTGACATGTGCACAAAATGATACCTGTTTTGACACAGTAAAAATGTTAAAACATTTTGAGTGTATGAGACTGTTTCTAGTCTCAATGGGTTTTTTTGTATTCTGAACAGTAAGTTATTCAGTATTTTACTGTAATTTTGAGACTGGGAACAGTCTCATTTTTATGATTACTGTGTATGATAAATCATTTTTTAAATTGAGCATTGACACAAGTGTCACCAGAATATCAGAAACTTTACTTTTGAAGAAAAAAATAGTCTATTACCAATTTTAGACCTTAAAATTCTAAATCACAAGACAAAGTTATCAGTGTACTATTATCATAAACCAACTTTTTCAGGTTTATATTTTATCTACAGAAGTTTCACACTTTCCATTTTCAAGAAAAATTTAATTCTTGTATTGGTTCATGAAGCCATTAAAATAACAAGTACAGAAGAGTTGTTCCATCTAGAACTTGATACTAGCAAGAATTATGTCAAGAACAACTTTTTTCTTGAAAAGTTTATTAATAAGATAATGAAAAAATACCTACAAAAAACTGACCAACACTCAAGCAACAATTTTTGATGTACCTAAATTACCTCTAACATGTCTTACCATTTATGGGTTCTTTAAGTTTTAAAATAATGAAAAATACATTGAACATTTTAAAATCTACATATCCACATATTTTGCCAAAAATCATCTTTAAACCTCAATTATACATCAAAAGTTTTTTCAAGGTGAAAGATTCAATTCAAACACTATGGTGGTTGTATGTTGGTTACAAATTTACATATACCTCTTATATTGGTTTCACAGTACACCACCTAATGGTTGAAATAAAAGAACATCTTAAAATATATGATGGTATTCATTCCAGTATTTACCTGCACTTTAACAACACCTTGTGATAAAAACTTTACCCTTCCCTGCTGAAATTTCTGAATGCAGTAACATTGCAGATAAAGCAGACTTTGTTAATTAGATATTTGGAACCAAGCTTTAATGATACCTCTTTGTCTTTTCTGATATTCTGAAAACTGTAGGTATTCTTTGAAAGACATATAGTTAACATGTAAAACATACAGTTATGACTCCCAATCTGACATC